AACTGCATATCATGCTCAAACGTAGCATCGACTCTGTTAACTGAGGCCGGTCGCAGTATAAAAAAGTACTTAATGTGTGTGCGAATGTTAGCCAATCACACTGCATAGTTCAGAGTTAAATCCTAATTTTTAAATATTGGTTGAGGCAGTAAGCTGGAACCGTTGAATTAATGAGATTCTGTAAATAGGTTTGTGCCTGCTAGTTCTTCCGAAATATGACCAAAACGGCTTTGTTTTCGCCAAGACGAGATTTTTTGGCATGTTATGTAATTATATTTTCAACGCTTTTCATCACAAATTTCGACAGAAAACAAATGCTACGGTATGGCTGGTTGTGGTACGTTTGAAGTGGAAACTATAAAGCCAGGTTTCCACTTCAATCGTATCGTACCGAAGCGTATTTCTTTGGTTAACGACGTCCACACAAAAGAAAATGCTACGTTACGTTACGTTACGATTGAAGTGGAAACTAAAGCCGGTTTTCCACTTCGCCCGTATTGTAGCGAAACGTACTGGTGAGCATGCGCAGATTGAAAAGAGGTTTACAAATCCACGTACTTCCGGGCGTATCGCGTATCAAAATAAAAAGCTCGTCACAACAACTTTTTGGCGTACTACGGAAGTACTAACCAATCAACATTCACGAAATTTTGAAATATAAAAAAGTTTTTGACACGTTTCGGTACGCTTGAAGTGGAAAACCGGCTTAGTCTCTTTGGCTTTAGTCTTAAGGTACGTTTACACGCTGCGATTTGTCGGGCCGATTTTGCTCGCTGTATGTAAATAACCTGTCGTCAGTACTCGCGTCAGCACCTTGCGATTCACAAAATCGGGAGAAAAATCTGTAACACTAACACAGATTTTTCTCACGATTCAACGATTTTTCTTCCGTTGTAAAGTTGTTGAAAACTTTTCGCACGCAGAAAACTATAATGTGAACAGACGAGAGAGCGGACAGCTTCAATTGAACGTTTAAATCGCTAAATGTCGAAGAAGGGGCATCGATTATTTACCAAAATCGGCCCGACAAATCGCAGCGTGTAAACGTAGCTTTAGCTTTTCGATTTAAAACATGCATATATATTTACACAATTTTTTTGTTTCTTATATGTTACATTTAAATAGAAATAAAATAATTTGAATAATTTGTGAAAAATGGAAGTCCTAAAATATACTAATAATATAAACTCATTGTACGTGTAATGAACTAATTTGACTTACACGCATCAGGCTTCTCTTGGGAATCATATAAACTGTTCTCTTTATTTTGTTTGGAATATGATGTTTTTGATTGCTTTCTGGTTTCCCTGGAGGCTTGATTACTTGCTTGCATTACACCCACAGTTTGGCCCACTTCAGCGGTTTGTTTTCGACCAGCCTGCATTGCACCAGACTGTTTTGGTTCAACCCGACGCGGCAGACCAACAGTGCTACAGACGGGCTTGCTTGCCTGATGGCTTGGAATCGGGCCCGCGGGTTTAAGTTCAGTGCTGGATGGTTTCCCGGCTGAAACATTCGGCGGCTTTCTGAACGCGGATTCGGTGCTCGGTTGGAAAGCAATCGTGCTCATGTGAGGCCTGAACAAAGGTTCACTGCTATCATCCTTCAACGTAGGTTGGTTATCCTGCTCCTTAAATTCAGGATTATCATCATGTGCTGGGTGGCAAGGTGTCGACTCACTGCTTAATGCAGTCGGTTGCGTGAACGTCGGATCATTATTCTGGCTCTTGATTACCGGTTGAATCTGCTGCTTATCAATTCGTGCTTGCAATTCAGCACCAGTACTTTGCTCTGTTTTAGGAGGCTCATCCATTTTCTGTTGTGTTTCAAGATAACCAACAAATTTCTCCTTCAGTCGATTATACTTCATGGTAATTTGCTCATATCTTTGCCTGAAACAAAGTTTGGACACGTTAAGCCGGTTTTCTATCAGGCAGAATTTCGCGCGCGCAGCGGAATTTTTCTTTATCTTGTGATTCCTCGGATGGAACTAATTAAAAAAGACAAAGAAAAATTCCGCTCCGGCCGTAAAAGTCCGCCTGATGGAAAACCGGCATTAATAAATTAAGGGCCTTTTTTCCGATAAAGGAAATTTTGCGCGCGGAGCGGAATTTCTCATTGTCTTTTCTAATTAGTTCAACCAAGAAAAATTCCGCTCCGGCCTCCGCGCGGAAAATTCCGCCTAGCCTAGCGGAAAACGGCCTTTAGAACTGCAATTTTCGAGCCTGGTCGGACATAGGATATTTTCAGATCAAAAATTACATTCGGCGGAACCGTAATCTCCCCACAGAATTTCTCGGCGGATTGGCAAAATATCAATGCAAGGAGCAGCTGGGAAAATTGCTACCACTGTGCAGAGAATTGCTGGCGCACGTGATATTTTACAGAAATTCGAAAATTTGAAAAAACAAGACGAGTGAATTCGAAATTTCAACTTATGATTTCGCATTGGGCTATTCAAATTATTATCTGCACCCCCCCTGTTGAGGAATCCCTTTCTCACGTCGGTACTCCCCTGGAATTTCCGCAAATTTTCATGTGAAATTTACCCCATCCCATGGAATTTCCATTTTAAATTAGGCCTTCCCCGTGGAATTTCCATTTAAAATTTGGCCCTGTCCATGGAATTTCCATGTGTAAATACCCTCCACATTGAATTTCCATTATGGGACATTTACTCCCGGAAATTTCCGTCTAATATATGTCCTCCCATGGAATTTCCATCCCATTAAATTTACTCCTCCCTCTGGAAATTCCATGCGAGAATTACTGAATCCCCTTGAGATTCCAAGGTTGATGTTCCCTTCCCGTGGAAATTTGAAAGTTAGTGCACCTCGGTTCCAAGGTTAATGCACTTCTCCGCTGGAAATTCCAAGGTTCCTCAACAAGGAGGGGGCGGGGGTGCAAATAATAATTGGAATAGCCCATTTTCATGACGGCGATCAAGGAAATTAAATTGTAGGAAAAACTTCACTAACATTTCAAGTATGAAAAGCATCTACATTATCAGCATTTTTGTGGAATGATTCAAAATTCAGGCGATAAAGTTACATGGCTGGGAGTTTGCTTTTAAGCTCTTCGAATATTCATTTTCATTCGAGAATTACTGCAACTTGTAAACTTGTTGGTCTCATGGGTACCAAAATCGACATAAACCAGTAACGAAGAGCTATAAACGTAAACCAGTAACGAAGAGCTATAAAACAAATAGGTTTTCAAAAAGA